TCAATGAGCTTACTCCAAACTGGCAAACTCTGACTGGAATCAACTGACATGCAAGAGTGAAAGGAAATGAAAAAACCTGACAGACTGGCCCTGTTTGTAGTGAATGGTGGAGGAAGAAGTATGGAGAGGACAGACATACTGAATGTACTACATTCTACAGACTCTGAGAAGTAAAAGACAATGAACCACCTGCTGGACACGGGTATTAAACAAGGACATGCATGCACAAACAGGACGCAGGGCAAAGAAAGAAGATATGCTACTGGGTAAATAAAGACTGAACAAACTTTATACGAACAAACTTTATTTTCAAAGGGTTACAAATTGGGCACTCAGGCCTGTCTGACATTTGGCCCTTCTAAGCACTCATTTTTCAGAGTACCAATGCCTAATTATCTGGAGACATCAAGATGGCTGATGCATCAAAGGACGGGGAATGATTGGGTCACACCGATGTGCTAAGATGTAGAAACAATCAACAAGATTCTACTTCTGTCAAGGACAGTTGTTACAATAACTATTTCAGGTGGTCATTGTAATCATTCAGACACTTGATTTCATGTGAAAATGGCAGATAATGGTCAAGAAGTTAAAAAGTTCAAAGTTAATTGCATGCCCTTTTACCATTTTTACAGGACATCACAGAACTAATCACATTTTTTGTGTTTGGCTGTGATTTCCCTAGGCAATTTTATGTTCTGTAACTTGCCACTGCTCACTGAATGGTCGGTTCTCGATACTACAGCTGAAAACAATGCAAGGAGGTTTCCACTGCAGGCTTGCTGTTTTGCCACATGGCTCAAAGTGATGGTACCAAGACTCACTGTCTGCCATTATTCACAATAGAAATTCAACAGACTCTACTCTGGAACAAACTAAGTGGTTCAAACTCCAGCACATGCATTCTTCATCAACAGTACCCCCCATCTCACCAAGCGGTGCGATACATGTATGAATTCTTATATCCCCCTCCTTTTGACGGGTTCATTCCAGATGCAGGTCTGCCTTGTAGTTGCTGCTTTATTTATTTATGCTAATATACCTTTCATACAGTTGCACTAGAGCCGCTAGAATGCATTTCATTTGTGCACTCCTCATACTTTAAGCAAGCAACAACAATCTGCCGGATATTAGCTAAATAAACAGATAAATTTAATGTACATAATGTACAACAGATACAACCAACTAACAAAGGGCATCAAATTTTGACTTACTTAAATGCAGTCACTTAACACACAGAGACAATCATACTAGTTCAGCAGTAGTGATTCATATTTACATATACTTAAAAATGCAGTCTACCAAAACAAAATATATACACTCCTAACAACAACAAAAAACAAAACTATAAAAATGTGTCTTCTTCTTCTTCTTCTTCAGCATTCCAAGCCTTTTACTGCTGCACATTCATCTTTCTTTCTGGTTTTCTCTTTCCAGCTGGTGACTTCAAGTTTTTGAATGTCTGCTTGTATATTATCTCCCCCACCATCTTCTTAGTCTGTCTCATGGTCCACTCCCATTCAAATCCTTTGTGTATGCAGTGTTTGACTCTGTTTTCTCTATAAGCACCAACTACTGCAGTCTAACAGCCCTCATATGCTAGTAAATATCTTTAACAAAAATTATGTATAGAACTTAATATATACATACACATCTTCTTCTTTTATGTTCACCCTTAACAAATGGCGGCTGGCACACTGTGTTGTGGTTTACAGCTAGGCTGTGAGACCCGTGGCCTTCAGTCAAACACATGTAATTTCAGTAAATCTCTAATTAGTCACCTTTTACGACACATCTGCTAGAGTGCAGTAGGTCTACCACCCCCACCCCCCCCCCCCCCCCCCCAAAAAAAAAAAACGACACCGGAATCCACAAGGGGATTACATGAACAGTTCCATGAGGTCTTTAAAGTTGTTTCCACTGGCATCCAGATATTAGTTACTATGACACACACAAAAACCTGCTTTGGCAATTTTGGACAAACTGTCCAGTTTTAATGATGTGCATGTAACTAGTGTCATGTGTCCATGCTGGTTCAATGCTGGTTCAATGTTGGTGCTACTATTCATGTGAATGCCGTTAGCAGTGCTGTGCTGTGATACACAGAAGTGGACGCATCTGTCAAGGAATGACAGGCCATTACACATCACCCCTAAAAGAGTCGGGACCTGTATTACCTGTGCTTGACAAAACTTTCAAACTTGGACTCGTCCGGGAAGGTATATAGTCCCTTATATCGATATATGCCTTGATCGGAGAAAATTATGATACCTACATCTTCCAGTTTTCAAATTTGCAACTGTATGATAAATATTGCTGGAGTTATTTGACTATTCTTAGAAACCGGTTTACTCCTTGCTCATGTATACAAGGAACTTCTTCTTACCGACGCCTGACTTGAATTTTTGCGGCATTGTTTCTGCCGGCTTTCCTAGCGTTCAGATGTATGCATCGACGCCAGCAAATTTCACTTTCAGAAGGCGGCCTGTAGTGTCGAGGACTTTTCCTATGCTTGGGTAAGTTGATTATAGTTTACGAGTACCTTAAATGATGTCTGTTAAAGTGGTCACTGCTGTAGAGAGATCAGAATCGGCTATGGGATCACACATAGTTCGACCGTTCTTGATCTCTAGAGAAGCGGATTCGAACTTAGACCTTCTTCTGTACAGACTAAATAGCCTATGCCCTAAATAACCCACTCATACTGGTAAAAATAATGACCTTACAAGTGTGTACCATTTAAACTAACAACAGAAGTTTGTGCATACGAATGGGAACAGAGATTTTAGGTCAGTACTTGGGCAGCCAGAGCTGCGTTGAGTGTGTTTGACCCAGATCAATGGATGTGTGGAACTGGCTTGAGAGTCGTAGGGAATAGAGGTACTGACGGTAAAAATTGGTGTCAGTGTGCAGATGGGAGGGGGAGAGAGATTGATATGTGAGAGTGTCTATCTATCTCCACTATATATCTGACTTTCCATCTCTTGCACTAAACAGACAGATGAATGATAGGAGACATTGTCTCCTGGTCTTGAGAGTGCACTCTGAGGAATGAAACAGAGGAGCAGAGGTGGAGTAGGCTGATGTGGGATGGTGACTGATGCTTATTCTGTCTTTCCTGTCAAGATGATACCCTCTTGGTGATAACTAATTCTGAGTTCTTTCCTGACAGGATGAAACCTTTGTGAAGAGCTGGCAGAAAAATCACAGTCCAACCAACACCCACCAACCAATTACCAACCAACCTATCAACCAACTACCCACCAGCTAACACCTGTGAAGATTCCTAACATCATCAGTATGGGGTGCCATATACCCCAAACATCCTAACAGTGCCAGAACATGTGAGTGACTCCAGGGCAGGTGAACATTTATAGAGAGTATATCTATACTCGAGTAGACCAGTCTTCAGGAGCTTGGTGGAGCTCAGAAACAGGCTGTGACTTGACTGGTGGGAAAGACGTGCTAAGTACCAGGGTCATAGACAGTCGAATCACCAGGAGCTGAGGGAAGCATCAACAGCAGAACTAGGATGTCCAGTTATGTCTATATCATGCTATATTCCCCACAGCTCCAATGTATTCCAGGGATGAAAAGATGTTACCTCCAGGACTTTCTGGCTGTTTGGAATTCTGGTTATTCTGGTCATTGTATTCTGGGATCCATCCACTGAGATCTGGCATCTGCTTCACTATTATATGTATATATATGTTGTATTGATTACATGCATTCATTTTCATGGCTGACTTAGGTGTCTCTATTTCACCTTTCTAAGTGTTTAGCATTGTTGTGTGTATGAGTCATAAATATTATATGTCTTAACATGGTTATGATAATAAACTATCATAACCTGGGGGCTTTCTTTTAATAGTAGTGGGGGTGTCCAGCCAAGTGTGCCTAGGAATATTGTATTCATATACAGATATATTTTGTAGTGCCAATACTTGAGTTGCCCTACTCCAGAAATAAGTTGAGCGTATATTGGCCACGGGGCATCCCTTAGACCAATACGAGCCAAACGACTCAACATAATTATTTCTGAGTGCTGTTGGTTCTGAAGGAGAAATCCTTATATCAGGCACGTGACAGGAGTGATATGTGACAGCATCATTCAGCACCATAAAAGGGATTGGAGGCATAAGCAGCAAAATAAAAACATAGTTTGAACATTTAAGGAGCAGCATTTCAGAGAACTCCATCATACTGAGAAAATTTAACTCATGGCCGTTGTTGTTAGCTACTTTCTATCTTTCTTGACGACAGTGCTCTATTTCGCCACAGGAAGAAATCTGAATCACAGCCTATGGCGACGACCAGCGTGACTAGCAAGACTCAAAAACTCATCCACAATTTGATCATGAGATTTAAGAACCATGGTTGCCATCACTTGTATTTATTATGCTCTTCTCAGATGGTGGGCTCTTAACCTATCTGAAATCATTTTATCCTTTATCCTTATTCCTTCCTAATTGTCTCCCTCCATGCAGCACTGTCCATGGCATTCTGTCCTCCCCAAAAACATATTCATGCGAATAACACAGGAGAACTTATAACCGGTGAGAGAGTATTAGGCAAAAAAATTCTCCCAATAAATTATCAAAACTTGGTGGGGGTGAGGGGGAGACTTCAAAATGGTGTCTGTTATCCACAGCGGTTTTTGGAGAACCGTCTAGGAGGTGGTTGGGTGTGGGAGAACACACCAACACGGCTCCGTAACAAACAAGTAAAATGCAATTAATTATTGCTTTGCTGAGAAATCAGATGTGCAGACATCACTGCCTAGCTGTAAACCACACAAAACCTAACATACTGTCTTTTTAAAGACTAATAAAGAAGAAGACATAATAAAAAAAGGTGTTTACATTTTTTTTACAGACTCTGCATATATTACATAAAATAAAGTTCATTTAAATATTTGAGGTCACCAGGTCTTAAATTTAAAAAAAAAAAAAAATTACACAACCTACTGGCGTCTGCTGAGACAACTGCTCAACCGGAGGTCACCATCGAACTTGATCTTTATATTCTTCTAAGACACTCCAGCGCTTCACTGTCTCGTACCCGAGTATGACAAAAAATGACAAAGGAATTGACTGGACCAGTCGGGCTGAGAGACCCTTGGTTACCATCCACAAGCCTTCTTCTTTCCACAACAACTGGACTGTCTCCTTAAAGTAGGTTCCTTCCACCTGGAGGACAAATATTCAATGATATTAAAAGAGGCATTTCCTGTGTGGTTTCAGTGGTCCCATAGTGAGGGAAAAAGCGGGGGGGGGGGGGGGGGGAGATCTTTAACAAGTAAGTCATAAAAGGTGATTAATTAAGTATCTGCTGAAATTGGATGTGTTGGACTAAAAGGTGCGGATATCACAGCCGTGCTGAAAACCACAATATGTATTAAACATTCTGTAAACTCTTTCCATCTCAGGTAGTTTCAAAGTAGAGACTATCTGGCACAATAATCACAGTGAACATGGCTTCAGTATATGACTTTCAAATACATAGCATATATTGTGCTGCATTTAAAATATTTGGTCAGGTTTCTTTTGCATACCCAGGCCAAACATGAAATACATAATAACACACCAAATGTTGCACTGATACATATAGATATAAACTGAGGACACATAGTGCGTTCCCTGGGACAGAAAGATTTCAGGGCAAATGCAAAGGAAGAAGAAGAAGAAGAAAAGAAAAGGGCATAATATTTTTAAAAGTTTGCAAATCCATCTTTTCAAGCTACTGATGCATCTAGCATATGGTGTTAGACTATATAAGAAGACTAGTTCAGGAGTGAACCAACAAGAAGAAGAAGAACATGCCAGCCAACATTTTTCTTTCCCGGGACATTTACTGGTACTCATTGTAGGCTGGGTCGACCTGTAAGTGAAGGTCATTTATTTAAAAAAAAAATCAAGGCTGATACAGATATGAGCCCAAGATGTTTGGTCGGGCAGGCAAGCACCTAGTCACTGCAGCTTCAAAAAAAAAAAGGTGTGAACAAATGGGCACATAAACTGTATCTGGGGCTTTTCTCAGCCCACATACAAAGAGTCTTATAGGAGTGAAGAGAAGTCAAATAATTATATGACAGAACACCAGTTTTACTACATCTTCTTATGCCCCGAGAGATGAAGAACATGCTCACACAAAAATATCTCACTTGTATTCTGGCTCTGATGACATCAATAGGGTTGGTGATAACTGCGGCTGAAACACCACCCAGTGGAGCTGCAACTACTTGTATTGCCAGACGAGGAATGTATACAGGAGCCATATTGGAAAGCAGAACTGTTCATTGTTTTTTAGGATATGGAAATGAAAGCAATAACATGTATTTTTTAATGAATAATTTGTGCATAAATGAACGTATCAAGAACTGACATCACTACCCTCGGAGCAATACCACATGTGCTCTGTTTCCCGATCTCATAGCAACCCCCTAAAAAAAATAAGTTCCCATAGTGATAGTGCCAGCTGAAACCTGATTTAAAGACTGCCTGTTTTTACCTCTGCATGTTGAAAACCATAAAGACCTTCTATCTTCTCCCTGCTTAATCAGTATTTTTTGTGTATCTGCATGCCCACTTTCCTCTATGTTTTACCACCCCACTTAAAGAAAAGTCAATACAAGGGCTATTTCAAAATCAACCTCCAACTGGCATGTAGACAATTTAAACAATTGACGATATCTAAATACATACACAAGTTACCCACATCACCGGATTACTTGTTCACAGAGTCACTATCTAAATTCAGATGCTTGCCATAGCTTTTGTAACCCCTCGCCAAGGAATGGTGCCTCAAGGAAACTTAGCTTAACTGTACACGGTATTTAGTTGTTGACTTAGAGGTACTTAGTTGTTGACTCCAGGGTACTTAGTTCTTGACTCCAGGGTACTTAGTTGTTGACTCCAGGGTACATAGTTCTTGACTACAGGGTACTTAGTTGTTGACTCCAGGGTACATAGTTCTTGACTACAGGGTACTTAGTTGTTGACTACAGGGTACTTAGTTGTTGACTACAGGGTACTTAGTTGTTGACTACAGGGTACTTAGTTGTTGACTACAGGGTACTTAGTTGTTGACTACAGGGTACTTAGTTCTTGACTACAGGGTACTTAGTTGTTGACTACAGGGTACTTAGTTCTTGACTACAGGGTACTTAGTTGTTGACTACAGGGTACTTAGTTCTTGACTACAGGGTACTTAGTTGTTGACTACAGGGTACTTAGTTGTTGACTACAGGGTACTTAGTTCTTGACTACAGGGTACTTAGTTGTTGACTACAGGGTACTTAGTTCTTGACTACAGGGTACTTAGTTGTTGACTACAGGGTACTTAGTTGTTGACTACAGGGTACTTAGTTCTTGACTACAGGGTACTTAGTTGTTGACTACAGGGTACTTAGTTCTTGACTACAGGGTACTTAGTTGTTGACTACAGGGTACTTAGTTGTTGACTACAGGGTACTTAGTTCTTGACTACAGGGTACTTAGTTGTTGACTACAGGGTACTTAGTTCTTGACTACAGGGTACTTAGTTGTTGACTACAGGGTACTTAGTTGTTGACTACAGGGTACTTAGTTGTTGACTACAGGGTACTTAGTTCTTGACTACAGGGTACTTAGTTGTTGACTACAGGGTACTTAGTTGTTGACTCCATTAATGGCTCCACCAGACCTTCATCTTGCCAAAGAAATTATGACTGCTTGGTACCAAGCCTGGGCAGTAACGGGTGTGTAGTTGAACATTTCCCACTTGAACTGCTCAAGTAAAGCCTTTGTGTGAGCAGCAGTGTGTGGGCCGTGCATACAGGATAATGACACCACAGGTGAGCATTCTGCTTGGGATCGACTGACTCTTCTTATCTTCCTTCAGTTACTTTGCCAAGTGCAGAGGGGGGAGATCTGATTTACGCTGGTCTTGTTTGGTGAACTTGATTCACACACTCATCTAATTTCTTCTTAGGACTCATTGTTTAGACTGCTGAATCTTCTACCGGTGCACAGGAAGAGACATGCATAAATACAACCGAACGTTTAAACCAAAGTCTTTACAAGTGGAGTTAACATTATATTAACATTATTGGCTTCACAGTACATCCTGTCTGCTGGCCAAATATATCCTCCTATATCTGTTCCACCTCCGAAAAATTCCTATCTCCTGGCATAATAAATCTCTTACATCTATTCAACCCCTGAAACTGGTGTTTCCTGATTGAATATAAACTTATATATCTATTTCACGTCTATAAATTCCCTGTCTCCTGGCACAATATATCCTATTATATCTATTTCACGTCTATAAATTCCCCGTCTCCTGGCACAATATATCCTATTATATCTATTCCACCCCTACAAGGATGCTTGGGAATCACAGCACATGATGATGGTAGTGTGACTAGTATTACCCAATCACATCAAGAAGTCTTACACAAACAAAGCATGGGATCACACGACCGTTGCTGCCATTCAATAAATTTATTGTACTGCTCCCCAGACGCTCAGCTCTCAACCTATCTGCATGGGACTACACGACCGTTGCTGCCATTAAACAAATTTATTGTACTGCTCCCCAGACGCTCAGCTCTCAACCTATCTGCATGGGACCACACGACCGTTGCTGCCATTAAATAAATTTATTGGACTGCTCCCCAGACGCTCAGCTCTCAACCTATCTGCATGGGACCACACGACCGTTGCTGCCATTAAATAAATTTATTGTACTGCTCCCCAGACGCTCAGCTCTCAACCTATCTGCATGGGACCACACGACCGTTGCTGCCATTAAATAAATTTATTGGACTGCTCCCCAGACGCTCAGCTCTCAACCTATCTGCATGGGACCACACGACCGTTGCTGCCATTAAATAAATTTATTGGACTGCTCCCCAGACGCTCAGCTCTCAACCTATCTGCATGGGACCACACGACCGTTGCTGCCATTAAATAAATTTATTGGACTGCTCCCCAGACGCTCAGCTCTCAACCTATCTGCATGGGACCACACGACCGTTGCTGCCATTAAATAAATTTATTGTACTGCTCCCCAGATGCTCAGCTCTCCACCTATCTGCAATCATTTTCTCCTTCATTCCCACTCCCTCTCACCACTTAAAATTGTTTAAACCGACTACAAATTCACACAATCAACTCACCACAAAACTGGTCATAGAAAAGCCACCAGAGGGCACTATTTGGTGTAAAGAATGCTAAGGAGACAAAATATCCTTTGTAGAAACCCAACAAGCCGTACTGTTTGTAGACAGCTCGGATGACGGCTTGAAAAGCACCGAACCTGGACTTGGCCTCCGACTCTGTTATATGGAAATGTTGGAGTCTTGCCAGATTCTCCTGACCTGGGATGTGGACAAGTAAGGCAACAAAAGTTGTCAAAGAAATGTTTTCTCATTGTCAATCTAAATCATCATCATGATGTGCCATGCCAGTGAGTGTAGGTGTCCTGTCTCACCATCTCACACAATTACCAGAATCACAGATCAGGCCAGTGTTCTTGTCTCTATCCACACCTTCCTGGCATTTATCTCTTTGTTTTCCCTTTCCTCCGAATGTTAAATTATGAATCATCATCACCGCACTTAGGAAATTCCCAAAAGTAAGCTGGATGAGCCGGTGTTATATAAGTACTCAGTTTGTACCCCACCCATTTCATTTAAACACCTTTTTTTTTTAAATACCAAAATCCGCAATTATTCATATTTTCTGATACAGTCCAGAACTGTATACACATTTCTTATGTATTGTGCTGTGAGCTTTCCACATTTACTATGGGAAAAAATGAAGTCCACAAATAAAAATACTCTTCATATTTGAAGATACAATTTATAATGTTTAACTTAACTGCAGGAAAATAAATTCATGTGGTGCATGCTTGCAATGACTTTGCAGAGTTAATTATTCCTCATTTCATTACCAAGCATTAACAAGCTGGATAATACAGAGTCAGGATAATCGTGAGCCAGATACCTAGGTATTCCTTATTTCATTACCAAGCATTTTGTTTTTAAAACTATGCTGGATAATACAGAGTCAGGATAATCGCGAGCCAGATACCTAGGTATTCCTTATTTCATTACCAAGCATTTTGTTTTTAAAAACTATGCTGGATAATACAGAGTCAGGATAATCGTGAGCCATATACTAAAGTTCTACAGTATATTGTTTTGTCTTAACGAATCAAAAAAAAAAAAAATATGTTTTGATTGTTCATGTCCCTAATATACAGTTTGGTTAATGACTGTCCAAGAGGTTTCTGTCATGTTTACTGCCATTGTTCATTTAAAGGTCATCTCCATCACACATCGGACATGACTATAAGTGCTTCATCTGAGTATGTCTCCAAGTGTTTTTAGGCTAACAACTCCCATTTGTTCTGGCTAATGTAATATCGAAAGGCTCCAGCATAGTTTTCCTGTCTTGCTGATCCAATGACTACACTCAGGGTATGCAGTCTAGTCCATTCAGTGAAAAAGTATTTTTCACAAAACTGAAAGCCTCTCAGCGTTTACTCTCTCGTATGACATTGTTGATGTCTCTCCTGTCCATAGATGGCGCATTCCTGACAGTTGCACTGCCAGCCAGGGTTTCTGCTCTCTCACTGCCTTTCACACCAACATATCCTGGGACACAAATGATTTTATTTCTTATAAAGAACATACCTCCATGCTATACTGCAAAACTGTCCTATTCTTCTATGGTTGGCACACTGTGCTCTGGTTTAGAGCTAGGCTATGCTATCTGTATCTTTCAGCCCAACACATCTTAGTTTATTAAGCAGAAGTGTGTCACCCCCCCCCCCCCCAGCCCCCCGCAAACACACACAAGTAGGGCCCTGGAACCCAAACAGGGAGCCAAAATGTCTCACTCTTATATCTTGGCCTAATTTACCTTCTTCCCTTCCAGCTTTTCCCATGTTATGAGGTAATCAAGTTCCACCCTTCTAATGGCTTGTCCAGAGAAATGAAGATAATCTTCCATGCATGAAGGTATCCAGCTCTCTCTGCAAGTTCCTTTCTATGCAAACATCATCATTGCTTTAGTAGTCTGGTACCAACATATGTGAAGGGGTAGTACTGGTAAATAGGAAATATTTACTTTAGGCTTGGGTGTGAATCTCTAGGTGTTCCTTTTCTTCTTCTCAAAGTTCATGCGGTGTGGAGTTGGTAGTCATCTCTACCCAAAGCCTTCTCTCTCATGTACTTTCAATCAATTATTGACACAGATGAGCCTACATGCCATGATGTCAAACTCTTCAGCATCTGTTCTCTCGGCCTTCCTCTGCTTCTCCTCCCCTCCAACTTTCCTACCGTCATGATGTACTCCAGTTTTCTCCTTCTCACCACATGATCAAAGAATGCAGATTGTCTCTTTCTGATGTGGGCAATCAATTCTCTTTGTGAGTCAGTTTCTTTCAGACATCCTCGTTACTCTTTTTATATGTCCATGGTATTCTCATCATTCGTCTATAAAACCACATCTCCTCAGCTTCCAAATAATTTTTCACTAATCTACCAACTGTCCATGACTCACTTCCCTATATCAAGATATAATTTATACAACTTTCAAGAATTCTCTTTCTCGTCCCAACTGACAACCATAGATTGAATAAAATATTCTTCTTTTTGTAAAATGCTGGTAAATGTTGATAAGCAAAAAGAGTGGGAAATACCATACCTTTTGAGCTGCCCCGTCCACCAATCAACATCAGGTGTTGAGTAACAATATCAAGAGGCACAGCAATGGTTTGTGCAATAGTGGAAGCCAGCCCACCACCTGGAGATTACGTAAGCAAATATTAACTATATAAATAGTATGGTGGATATGAAAGCAGATGCAGGAGATAGCAAAATAAAGGAAGGTTTAATGAGGTCTGTGTTTTAAAGAACAAGAAGTATGAGAAGAAAAACAACAACAGCAAAAACACTAAACAGAAAATTACTACCAGCAGCACAGCTTGGAGAATTAAAACATTAGTCAAACATTATTTAAAGCCCCCCCCCCCCCCCCCCCTGGGTGGTGAAGAGCACTTTTGCAAGAAGACATTAGGATGATATCAGGACGTGCTGGGGTGGGGGCAGAATGTTTGCAAGAAGCAGACAACATTACATGTGTGTGGACAATAACAAGAGATAGGCTGGGAGAAGCCAGATGAGTGTACCATGTACAGGATGGGATTGGTAGAAAACTCATCACAGCTGATCATCAATGTGGAGAAGGCTCTTGATCAGATGATGATGTAATATAAACACGGATACAATGATTAGGCGCAAGCTGGTTGAGGGCCTATAGTCTATTTGGGGATAAAGGGCAAAAGAATTAAATGAATCAGGAAGTATTTCTTTTTCTTCTTGGCCCATGGTATTCAGAGACACCTTTTGTAGCATTTTATCTCAAAAATCCTGATATTTCCCCCTTAAGGATTGACATATTGAGGTTAAAGAGGGCTAATCTGTATACAACAATGATGCACGATTTATGGTTCTCTTAAATCCCAGCCACAATGGATTCTCATGACTTTTCCACATGTAACCAGGACTATTAAAGAAATTTGGCTTTTTTTGGTAGCTTCCCATGTGTGTATTTAGACTCCTTATAGAGGTACCCTCTCGGAAATGTGCTATGAAGTAAACGCACCTAACACGGTTTTGAACATTACTGAAATATTTTACAGAAATAAGAGTCAGAGCCCCTTATGACCTGTAGGAATAAATGGGCAACAATGCTTCTATGTGGCCATATCAAACATCAATTTAGCCTGGAAACAACACATGGAGGACTGTTGATGCCTTCCATATCTCAGGCAGATGCACCCTGACTTTAAAGGAACACCCCTAATTAATCACCTCCGACGGCTTGCTTGTCAGGGGAAGAGGCAGAAAGTCTATCCCCACCCTCCAATGGGACCCCATAACTTCATGGATCAAAGCTGGTCATATTAAGACTAAACTCTTACCAAAGAAAGATCGAAGTCTGTTATCGTGTATGCCAAAGTGTTCAGACATATAATGCCGTGTCCACTCGTATGAAGATACATAAGCCACGGTAGGGAAAAGCTGCAAACATGACACCTGCCAACATACATAACATATGAGTAAAAGAATAAGTATTGTAATAATGTTTAAATGAACATATGAACCCGGAAATAAAAAAATCAAAAGATTTGGGAAAAACTGGGAATGAAAAAACATTGAAAACAAAAATAAGAGAGAAGAGAAATATTTCAGAAAACAAGAAAGGTCTCGACCACCTGGATGGGGGTGAGAAAAAACACTAAACTCATCAGTGATTCTGGAGATCGTGTGAGATGACAAAACATGACAGCCTACACACATCGACAAGGCGCATGATGATGATGACTGTACACACAGTTTAACATTATGTATACATAGCAAAACAGCATATACTAAGTGTGTTAGTACACATACGAGTGTTTATATATATATATACATTGATCATTACACATACACATAAGTATATTAGGTATACACACACAAGTATGTTATGTACACTCAGGAGTGTGTTATGTACTACATTAGGACTTTATGGATTAACAAGTGCCTTATGTACACTCAGGAGTGTGTTATGCACTACATTAGGACATTATGGATGGACAAGTGCCTTATGTACACTCAGGAGTGTGTTATGCACTACATTAGGACATTATGGATGGACAAGTGCCTTATGTACACTCAGGAGTGTGTTATGCACTACATTAGGACTTTATGGATGGACAAGTGCCTTATGTACACTCAGGAGTGTGTTATGTACTACATTAGGACTTTATGGTTGGACAAGTGCCTTATGTACACTCAGGAGTGTGTTATGTACTACATTAGGACTTTATGGTTGGACAAGTGCCTTATGTACACTCAGGAGTGTGTTATGCTTTATGTACACTCAGGAGTGTGTTATGTACTACATTAGGACATTATGGATGGACAAGTGCCTTATGTACACTCAGGAGTTTGTTATGTACTAAATCAGGACTTTATGGATGGGCAAGTGCTTTATGCAGAAACAGGAGTGTATAACGTACTACATCAGGACATTTTGTGTAGACAAGTGCATTATGTATAAAAAGAAGTGTATTATGTACTACATTACGACATTGTAAATAGACAAGTGCATTATGTACAAACAGGAGTAAATTATGTCCATAGAAATCTGTTATATACTTATATGGGTTTTTAGGACTTACATGTGCCCAGATATAGTAGGAGGTCTCAACCATATCTATATTATATTAGTCCATGAAATTCCATGAAAAACTGACATAGCTTTTCAGCTAAATGTGCTAAACAGAACATAAAATGTGAATAGATGGCTCAATATAGGTAACTGAAAAGATAAGCACAAATGCACCCAAACGTTTTGACCAGTGTTTATCAGTTTTTAAACATAAACTTTATCTGTATTTTCTATTTAGTACTTCTTGTCTTTTATGTTCTATTTAGAACTTCTTGTCTTTTATGTTCTATTTAGAACTTCTTGCCTTTTATGTTCTATATAGCACTTCTTGTCTTTTATGTTCTATTTAGAACTTCTTGCCTTTTATGTTCTATATAGCACTTCTTGTCTTTTATGTTCTATTTAGCACTTTTTGTCTTTTATGTTCTATTTAGAACTTCTTGCCTTAAGCTTGAGTGCAGTCACCCCCTATTTACATTATTCAAATAATAGTAATATTTATATCTGAATCTGTAGAAAAAAAAAGAAGAATATGAAGGTCAAGAAGAAGAAGAAGAAGAAGAAGAAGAAGAAGAAGAAGAAGAGGAAGAAGAAAAAGAAGAAGAAGAAGAGGAAGAAGAAGAAAAGAAGAAGAAGAAGAAGAAGAAGAAGAGTAATGAGAAGTAGAAGTAAAAGAGGAAAAAGAAGAATAAGAAGAAGAAAAAGAAGAACGAACGAACAAACTTAATTTTCAAAGGGTTACAAATTAGGCACGCAGGCCTGTCTTACATCAATGAAGCATGTTATATTCATGTAATAATATGCATATTATATATATGAAGTCAAAAACAAAAGCATGGCTGGTAAAATATGTACGCACGCTCACGCGCGAACACACACACCCACATACACACACAAGCCCAATGACTCACTTACACACAAACATATAGACACTAAGTACACACATACATCCACATACATACGAACATGCACACACACACACACATACATACATACATACATACAAACTCACATAATACATACATACATACATACATACATACATACATACATACATACATACATACATACATACATACATACATACATACATACATACATACATACATACATAGAAGAAGAAGAAGAAGAAGAAGAAGAAGAAGAAGAAGAAGAAGAAGAAGAAGAAGAAGAAGAAGAAGAAGAAGAAGAAGAAGAAGAAAAAGAATTATTATTTTCAAAACACAAGCAACTCACCCAAAATCCACGGTAAAGACCAGCCCTGCCCTCATTGACAGAAATTTTCACAAATGCATCAAAAGTTCCTCGGTAAACTGTGTTCCCTTTCTGAATCTGTAGCCGAGTCTTGATCAGCATAAACGGATACATCAAGCTCCGTACAGCTAATCCACTAACAAGGGTAAGCGGATAATATTTTCTTTTATCCAGCATTTTCATCTCTATCACTTGAATCTCCTGCACCTCGAAACTCATTGTGAATACTTTGCAGAACTCAACTGGAGTTACGGAATTTGGATTTCATTAACTGAATATTCAGTAGAACCTAAACGCGGTTCTAGAATTTAGATTTCATCAGCTCAATTCTCTGGAGAACTCAAGTGAAGTTCACGAAATTATGTTTAATCAGCTGAGGCTTAATTTGAAAAGAAAACAAAAGTGAGTATTGCTCTGTTTATTTCTGTTGATTCAAGCTTCAGTTGGTGAGTAAAAACAAGTGAATATTGCTCTGTTTATTTCTGTAGATTCAAGCTTCAGCAGGGAAGTGAAAGCAAGTAAACCTTCTTATGTTTGTCTTTACAGGCAAAGGCATTATTTCAGGTCCCAAAACAAGTAAATATTGCAATATTTATATCTGTAGTCTGCAGTTTCAGTTGGACAGCAAAAACCTGTGAATCTTCTTACAGTTGTTTCTGTAAATGTAGGCTTTGTTTTTTAGTTTCCAAATAAGTAAATCTACATCTGCTGGTCTCTATAGGCTTAATGTGAGGGCCAAGATGGCTGAATCTTCCTTCTTCCACTGAGGCTGATTTAGGGAAGACAAGTCAAGTCAATCTCCCTCTGTCCGTCTCTGCAGATTGGAAGTGTTTTTAAAAAGACCTAAGACAACTGGATCTCCCTTCTCTTACTGGTCTCTGAATATTTAAGGCTTGAAGGCCAAAACAAGTTAAAATCCTCCACTTGTTTCTGTATTCTGTCTTGATTTTGGAAGCCAAGACCATAAAAATGTTCCTACACTTGTCTCTGAAGCCTAAGGCTTAATTTAGGAAGCAAAAACAAGTGTCTCTGAACAAATTGAGACCTCATGCATGTGAAATATTCTCCAATTAATTTCTGTAGTGGAGTATAATTCAAACTGTACATGTATTTGAAATATGAAATAGACATAACTGTCATGTCATAAATATGAATTGAGGTTAAATATGGCATTCACAGCAGATAAACTGTCCAGGTGTTTGTGTCTGTTGCTTGATGTTCTGTGTCCTTGCAGGAAAGTTGTAAGCTCATATGATACATTTGTGCAGTAGATTCTGCAGTATAAAAAAAAGAAAATAAGTTAAATCTGTAAATCGGGCAATAGATTTTGCAATCTTTTGTTTGTGTCTTCCTTGTTCATACTGACAACAGGGAAACATTGCTTTGACATGTCTGTGTATTGTAAACTGTGAAAGTTTGTAAACACATTTTCTATATATCATAAACTGTGGAATTTAAGTCAAGTCTTCAAGCCTTAGAAATCTTTCTGAAACTAGGGGTCAACTTATATGACAGGCATAAAATGTTGAATGTTAAATTGAGAATTGACATTACTGCACTCAGAACACCCCCATAAGTGCTCTGTCCCTATCTACAGCAGCAAGGGAAGAGTTAAAATTCCTATAGTACTAGTAACTGATTATATATCCGTCTCCCCTTCCCCTGAGTGTCAAGCGTCGGCCAGATCCTCTTGTAACTCTGCGCAGTGTCATTCTCCTCAGACTATAATGATCTATCTGTTCCTCTGCATTGTTCACTCACTCTCAAAGGGCCCTCACAAACATCCAGCATATACATGTGTTAGGTAGGTAAGAACTATAATGTTTCTCTTATTGTACTAAGAAACCGGAGACCGGTTGTTGTCTAGTGTTCACAGACAGTTTCATTCCAATCAACTCCTGCAACTCCACATAACAGTCAACACCAGTTGATGACAGTTTCCCATTTATTGATCACAACATATCAGCTATGAGCGCCTGTCCTCCGGTCTAACAATAAGCCTAGTTACAATCTACAGCATGATACTTACTTCACACATCCAGGTTCTATTAGTCCGCACTTCGGATCACATAGTCATACCTTCAACGTGTATCATTGACATGTACACGACCACTATCAACACTCAGTGTTGTCTTTCCATCAGCCTTCATTCAGCGTAGCTTTCAATGCAGATGATCAGCTTTAACACCTTCCAGCTCTGGGACATTGTTGCAGAATGAATCTCTATTTGGTTATCTCCCCTGCCACCCTTTGTTATCCAGTGTTTCCAAGTCCACTCACACATTCAGGAGTTTTTACTCTCTCCTGCTGACTTCATGTCTTGCAACCTAAGAGATTTCCCTGATTCTAACAATTAATTTCATTCAAATCAGTTAATTAATTCTTAATCATATTCCTAAATTTCAAGTAAATTTGTGAAGTAAATTCTGCAGTATAAAAAAGAAACCATCCAGCAAAATCACCAACAATTTTGTAAAATGAAGATCCCATAAGCTTTTTATCTACAAGAAGAACATCACAGGCAGGGCAGTGTTCTAGTATGTGTCTTATCTTGTTGCTGCTAGAGTGGTGCCCCTGCTTGTATCTCCTATTTGGATATTAGTTCTAGTTATAGACTGCTTCATCTGTCCCCACAAATCTCTGGAGCTGTCTGTTCATAAAAGTTTCCTTAATATAAACAGATTATACCTCTCAGGGTCCCAGGGTCCAAGTGTGGGGAGAAAAAGAAAAGAAGAGGCAGACTGCCTCCCTAACAAGCATGTCATCAGAGTCGTCTAGTTAGGGGTTTACTTTTAGGTCAGAGTGCATTTGCCTAAGCAGCAATGAACCATTAGTCTGCAGACAAAATAAGCCAGATCCGTAAAAATGGATGTGTATGTAAAACTCATATTCTGGAACAAGACTAAAGTCCAGAAGTGGATGACAACCAGAATTTTCTGCCAGAGTTTACAGCTGGTGAAAGCGAAGAAAAAAAAATTAAAATTGCAGCGTTTTACTATAGTTTTCTTAAAAACTTTTATTTCACTTTTATTTTGTACAGTCCAGCAAGTAGTGTTCTTTATTATTATGCTTCACATGCTTTTTGTAGTAAAGTAAACCAGTCCAAGTTGTAGTCCTAGCAATTGACTACTGCATTCAATTTTTAGTATGTCTGTTATCCAACAATGTTTTTTAGGGGTCTTGAATAATTTATATGAATGAAAATTAAACTTCAAACTTTTTTGTTTAAATCACTGATTTAATTAAAGCTGTGCTCACGATCACATGAAGTGTAATTTTACTGGATCTGCCTTGTTTTGTTTCTCTACTACAATTACGGTTTAGATGACGGATCCATATCATGGCACAAGGGTAGTAACCCATAAGTGCTCTGTTCTACTTCTGACTAAAGCCTAAGTCTGAAGAATCTCAGCGCAGTGCATGAACTCCGTAGCACCGGTGAGGATCCCAAAATACTTTGGGTAGATTTAAACTCCAAATTTTGCCCGGTCAGCGCCGTTAGGCTACTCTTTTCGGTTTCTAACTGCTAAATTTTTTTTAACGTACGGAACAATTTACATGAGTGTCCAATCTTAGTACCCACAGACCAGGGGAAATTACTAGAAGTCCACATGAAATAATCCAAGCCTTCACTGGGGCTTGAGCCAGGACCTTCAACACTCAAGGCAGATGCCATGCCTCGAGACCATGCAGCCCCCTACTGCAATTACATTACCACACATTCGAACATGTGCAGGAATGCATACAATCAACACTGAACATTCTAGAGGAGACTTATTTCCTTCCGCCCTTCATCTTCTGCTAGAGACCAGCTCTTAACCAATTTATGCCAAACATCGTTATCCTGTGCTCACTATTGTATTTAGATAAAACTAGAACTAAAATCCACATATGGAAGATGTAAAGAAGTGTGAAAGGAAAAAAAGAAAAGAAAACTGGAAACAACAGAAAAGAAATGTACATAAAAAATTTTAAATGTAACAAGAATGGCCTGGATCAAAAATGGCGAAATTAGAAAACTAGCTGTGGCTAAGGTTAGTTGCGTATCCTTTACAGGACGTTGCAGAACCAACCCCAACAGCCCCTGGCTGTTGTGTGGTTTTTCTAGGCAAATTTACGTCCAGTAGTTTGTCATTGCTTTCTGGACGGTCGGCTTTCTTGATACCACAGTCGAAACCAACGCAAGGTGCATGGCCCGCAGCTGGGATTGAACCCGGCATCACGAAGCGTTCGCATCGACTTAGCCACAGAGCCGACAGCTGGGGCTTAACTACAGACACAAAAAAGAAAATAGATCAAATGGTTTGGACATATGTCAAGACTGCCAAAAAACAGTGCACCACAGGGACCCTGACAGACACAAAGGAAGCTGAACTAGAGGTCAACCCTGCTGGCAATGGATAGATGGTTTTTCTAAGGCCATGAAAACCAGCATAAATACTGCACACACCAAGATGCACACAGGATGCTTTTTCAAAACCTGATGCTGAATGACTTTTTAAAAAAAGAAAAAGAGGAAGACAAAGAGGGTGAATAAGAAAGAAATGCCCATGTAGTCTTTAATAGTATGTAGACAGAGATGACCATGAATAAAACTGAATTAGCACCATTCTGCATGGATTATAAAAAAAATTTCTGAACTATTTTTTTTTAAAATTTAAATCTGATTACAATTACCGAGAGTTGCATCGTCGCTCTCCTTCTTTCTCCTGTTGTTTACATTTTGTTTGCGTTCATTTTTCATTACCTTAACTCTGCCAGGTTAATCAAATTATTTGATTAAATACGTAAACAAATGTGGCGTTCATAAAACCAAACAGTGGCCGATTTTATCTGAGACCACAATCTTCAAATAATAATTATTAATTACTAATACATTTATTTAATAATCTTTACACTTGGCCTTATATTTGTATTTACAGACTTGTTTAGTTTCATACGCACAAGTTATCACACTCAGTCAAGGTCTTGTCTTTTCAAATTAGAGTTGTTAGTGTTACTGTTACGTGTAAAAAAAAAGAGTATCCTACAATATATAAACGAGTCTCCTCCAATCAATACAACTTACTATTACTTGTTGCTCTGTAGGTATTGGTATTGCAACGGGTCGAAATATTAGGTGAATTAAGTCACCAGGGATGTGATCTTTGGAATCAGCTGGTCACCCACTCACTGACCCCAGGTGTCAATACTCAATGTCCCCGTTTGAATTGACCGAC